CAATTTTAAAAAACAAAAACCGCCATGAACATGCCCAAACATGTTTTTTTTTTAAAAAGGGGCCCTGATGGCCTTCAATTTTAAGCGCTTTTCCTTCGCCACTCGCCCGGGCCCCTGACCCCTCCTCTTGCTGCTGCCAGGTCAAGTGTCTCATGGTCCCTGTAACGGCCTCATCCATTGTGCTGCTCCATCGCCACATCTCTGCCAGTGCCACTTTTCAGTCTCCTCACATTGCTGCTGCAAGGCCGTTCCATTTTGAGTCATAGGATGAAATGGCAAAATACTGGCCATCCCATTGCCCCCGACCGGCCACATGCGTGGGGGGCTTTTGTCATAGTGGTGCTGGAGATTACGGGCCTGCCAGGGCCCTCGTTGCCAGCCAGGTATGTAATCGCCATGGGCCCCTGGTCCGCCTCCTCATGCTGCCTGCCAGGTCCCCAGAGTGTCTCATGGGTCCCTGTTACAGGCCCTCCCATTGCTGCTGTCTCCATCGCCACACTCTACCATGTGCGCCACTTTCCCAGGTCTCCTCACACTGCTGGTGTGGTTTCCATTTTGTCATAGGGTGCTGGCAGATTACGGGCCTCCTCCCATTGCTGCTGCCCAGGAACCCGTAATCTGCCATGGGCCCCCGTACCGCTTCTCCATTCATAGCATGCTGCCAAGGTCCAGCCAGAGGTCTCTACATCTTGTGGTACCTGTGTATCGAGGTCCTTCGCATTTACTGCGGTCTCCTCGCCACACTCTTGCACATAGTGCCTGGCCACTTTCAGGTCTCCTCCCCAACTGCACTGGTGCCTGGTCCATTTTGGTAATATGGGTTCGCTACGGCAGATTAGGGCCTCCCATTGCTGCTGCCAGGCCCGTAATCTGCCATGGGGCCCCCATGTACCGCCTCTCATCATCTGCCAGGCTCGCCACACTCTGCCATGTGCCACTTTCAGGTCTCCTCACACTTGCTGTGGGTTCCATTTTTGTCATAGGGTGCTGGGGCAGATTACGGGCCTCCCATTGCTGGCATGGCCAGGCCGCGTAATCTGCCATGGGCCCCCGTACTGCCTCCTCATGCTGCTTGCCAGGTCCAGAGTGTCTCATGGGCCCTGTACGGCCTCCCATTGCTGCTGTCTCCATCGCCACACTCTGCCATGTGCTACTTTCAGGTCTCCTCACACTGCTGGTGGGTTCCATTTTGTCATAGGGTGCTGGCAGATTACGGGCCTCCCATTGCTGCTGCCAGGCCCGTAATCTGCCATGGGCCCCCGTACCGCCTCCTCATGCTGCTGCCAGGTCCAGAGTGTCTCATGGGTCCCTGTACGGCCTCCCATTGCTGCTGTCTCCATCGCCACACTCTGCCATGTGCCACTTTCAGGTCTCCTCACACTGCTGTGGTGGGTTCCATTTTGTCATAGGGTGCTGGCAGATTACGGGCCTCCCATTGCTGCTGCTAGGCCCGTAATCTGCCATGGGCCCCCGTACCGACTCCTCATGCTGCTGCCAGGCCCGTAATCTGTCATGGGCCCCTGTACCGCCTCCTCATGCTGCTGCCAGGTCCAGAGTGTCTTATGGGTCCCTGTACGGCCTCCCATTGCTGCTGTCTCCATCGCCACACTCTGCCATGTGCCACTTTCAGGTCTCCTCACACTGCTGGTGGGTTCCATTTTGTCATAGGGTGCTGGCAGATTACGGGCCTCCCATTGCTGCTGCCAGGCCCGTTATCTGCCATGGGCCCCCGTACCGCCTCCTCATGCTGCTGCCAGGTCCAGAGTGTCTCATGGGTACCTGTACGGCCTCCCATTGCTGCTGTCTCCATCGCCACACTCTGCCATGTGCCACTTCAGGTCTCCTCACACTGCTGGTGGGTTCCATTTTGTCATAGGGTGCTGTATGGCCTCCCATTGCTGCTGCCTCCACCGCCACACTGTGGCTCCACACTCTGGTTTTGGCCCCGTGACTGCCCAAATGAGTGAAGTGTGCGGTGATTCTAAGATCGACGGCACTCATCTGCATGTCATACTGACTGACAGTATTATTTCTCTTCCCCAGCAGACTCCAAGGGCATTTAAATTAAAGGTACAGTGTTCTGCACTAATATAAAGGCTCTCTGAAGCCTAGAAACACCCTTTTTATAAGTTAAATTCGCAGCGAATATATTCGACTCGAATCGAATTTATTCCGCGAATTCGCCGAATCAGCCGAATCGAATTTTTGAATACTTCGCTCATCTCTAATGTATATGTATGTTATATGTTGTTTGTACCTGTACTACAGCCCAGAAACAATAGTGCACATTTTGTTTTTTGTTTTTTTTTACCAAAACACATTGACACAAAAAATCCAGACCTTTTGGCTTTGACCTTTGACCCTGACTTTGACCCTGACTTTGACCCAAACACTAACCCTGGAACTGAACTAGATCAAACTTGATCTAGGTATTTTTTATTTTATTTTTAATATTTATTTATTTATATATATATATATATATATATATATATATATATATATATATATATATTTATATATATTTTACAAACTGTTGTTTTTTTTTCTCTCTCTGCAAGGAGATAGAGAGGTTCAATGTATCTTTCTCCTCCATTCAGAGAAAAAAAAAACAAGGGGATCCGGCTTCACAGTGATTGATCACTGTGATACCAAATCAGAGGCTAACACAGCAATCATGTGACCGGGAATCAGGACTCCCAGGTCCCAATCATTAGAACGGGACCCGGGACTCTCAGTGACTCAGTGACACCCTGGTCTTTGTGCTGGGAGTGCTCTGTGCGGCGCTCCCAGCACAAAGACAGGTACGCAAATATGTGGCCCCACGAAAAAAGCCCGGTTCTGTGAGGCCACATATTTGTGTTACGTCAGCGTGAAGGGGTTAATGATTGCTTTGAATAATATTGAATAATATTGGTAGAGTCAGACATTTGATCTGATCGCATTAGTTTTGGAAGTGTGCCTAAATGGGTAACTTCACTGAAACTTACTGACCTTTTGGTTTGTTCATCGACCATGCTTCTGCTTTTCGTAATGTGCTTTATCCTTACCTGACTCCTATTTTCTTTTTCAGTGGGGCACAACTTGGCATTAGCATGCAGCAAAACCCATTGCCACCATCAGGAACTCTGGGGAAGATGGGTTATTGCTTAGACCCTATGTCTCATGTGAGCCAACATCATCTGCTAGGGGAATCTGTTTGTATATTTTCAGCTGATTACTCATGAACCTCTATTGCTACAACCACTGGCCTCTGAGCCTGATCCCAGACCATGACAGAATAATTTGGACCAAAACACAGAGGTCATTGCAGCAGCTGCTGTGTCACCTGCCTCATGCAGCAAATCACTGAGTTGCAAGCATTCATGACAATTTTCTGAATTACCATTAGAGGTGAAGGGTCTACAAGAGGACATCTTTAATCTGCTTATCCTTAGACAATTGTGGGACTTAAATCCCTGAAATCCCTTAAATCCCTGAAACACTGCTGCTGTACTATTTCATGTATGCCTCTACCAATCAAGTTCAACATAGACTGTTGTCATTATAAAATTTTTCTTAACCTCCTTGGCGGTTTTCCCGAGTGTAGCTCGGGGTAGAATTTCTATACCAAGAACGGTAACCCCGAGATACACTCGGGCTTACCATGCAGCGTTCTCTGGGGGTCCCTGCAGCACTTACCTTGTCCTTCGCTCCCACGATGTGTCCCCTGCAGCGTCCCCGTCCATCTCCTCCGGCGGATGCCGGCATCTGACTTCCGTGTTCCGTTCCCCGTGACGTCGTCGAACGTTCGGGCGGGCGGAACCGGCGGGAAATTTGAAATTTTTAAAAAAATGACATTTTTGCTGTCATTGCTTTTTCACTGCATTTCACATACATTTTGTCCCCACTGCTTTGTCCTGTGCCCTGCCTGCATTTTGACTGTTCTTTCTGCCTGGAAACTTAGAAAAGTCCATGGCGGCCAAAAAGAGTCCCTTTACATCAAAAGCGGTTTTAGAACAGCGATAATTGAACTACTTGCAGAATTGAGTGATAATGATTTGTGGGGAAATTCGTCATCAGACACTGAAAACGATTTTGTGACTTTGCTCAGCAATGTGCGAATTTGCCTCTGTATTTCAAATTTCAGTGTTTTTGGTTTGATTATATTATTGAATTAAATTTATTATTATTATATTATTATTTTTTATGATTATTTATTAAATTATAATTTATGATTTCGTGTTTCAAGTTTTATCATACCCGGGATGTTTAATAGACTCTTGTTCGGACAGATTTCAGTGAGTTATTCCTAAAAATTACAGCCTACAATTAAAAACTACATATTTCCATGCAAAAAAATGGTACCGCTTTCAGCACAAAATTCCTGACATAATCATACCGCCAGGGAGGTTAATCAATACCATAAATACTTTCCGATGCAACCTGCTGCATTTACTTCTGAGTAGAAAAGGGTGTTGTTTACTATCAAACTCCTGACTGAGGAAGCCTTAGCTTAGGGCCTTCCCTTCTGTGGGGAAAGATAATGCAATCCTAGATCATTTCAATTCTTTTGTGACTACTAGTTTTTGATGACCCTAACCTAGGGATAGGCAACCGTAAAAAGGTGGAGATCTACCTGACCAACATGGGAGAAGTCAAAGATCTCCCAGCACAGTGTTGCCTCCTCACATCTGATTTAAACCTAAAATTGCTGTACTACCATCTAGCAATCGCATACATTACACAGCAATTGTGGGTTTAACAAATCGCCTCCTCACCACCTATCAAACACACTCAGATCACTTCTCAGAGCAGCAATGCCTGCTGCACTTGTGAGTGAGTTGCAATCGGCAGAGGCACCCTTAGGGCCCATAAACACATAAATTTGGGGGTAGTAAAATCCTGCAGTTAAGTTTCAGTTTTACCACTCCCGGTCCCTACCCCCTTTATCTGCTGAGGCAGCAGCCAAAAGTGTACACCTGCAACAGCAGGAATTAATTAAACCCCCTGTTGCTTTTGGTTGGTGCTACCATCTGCAATCATGACGCATTCAAGTAAATGGGACCACTCTGCAAGCGACTTGCAACTGTACACTTCTATGGGGTCCAAGGAGTTAAATCAGATGGTGAGAAAGCAACACAGCAATACATGCTTTAGCTCCTGGTTTGATGTACTGCACAAGGTTGCAGGGCACTTGCATAGTGGCCTCATTCACTTGCAAGGGTTATGCTTGGCAGGTGCTACACCCACCAACCATGACAGGGTGTATAGCTCCTTCTGCGGCTGTGACATGTGTACACCCCTGGCCACAGCAGCTAAAGGGGGTGTGGTGTGGGCAGGGGTGGTAAACACACATCTTAAACAATGGGGTTTTACCACCCCCCAAACTGTAAATTAACCCATACTGTTCTGATCCCCCAACAAGGCTTCTTTCACACTAATGTGCTTTGGTTTAACTGCACCATGTGTGAAACGTAATGCATCTGTGACTTTTCTGGGTTAGCTGTGCTTTTCCATATACTTTTATTATATCCAGCAGGTGTGGTGCACTTTTTGAAAGCGCACCAAAACTCCTGCATTCAGGAGTTTTGGTGCACTTTCATAAAATGTGCCAAACCTGAAGGTTATAATAGAAGTCTGTGGCTAAGCACAGTAAACCCAAAGGAAGTATAAAATATCAAAACTGTGCAGCGCTCCATTTAAAACTATAAATATATATGCAAATATACAAATATACAGAAAATCTTCCAACACAAATATATTCAAGTGTCCATATCACATCCGTGATTCTCTGCAATCAATGTCGTATAACAAATCAAGTGTTCCTATAAAAGCAATCATTCCCCCTGATGAAGACACGTGACCTGGTGGCGTAGCGCATAGGGGAGGGGCTTTGATGTCACGATGCTCGACGGACAGTGAGAGGCACTAGCTGGCTATACATGTCAGAACCACTAGCGGCATTTGGAACAATTGTTTTTGCATAAAGCACAACTATACATTATACATGTGAATGGAATATATTTTATTACAAATACATGCTTTTTATAAGGATATAGCACTATGTTCTGGTTAATTTTTTTGGTATATAAACTGATGGAGGAGGACAATTAGAAGAGTGAAGGGGATCCAGACCTGTTGGATACTAATCCCATCTTTACACAATCCCATAAAGGTATACAAGCTCTATATGACCTTACTTAACGGTTGGGTCATATATATAAGGTGAGAACACAACTGGTGGAGGCACACAAGGGTTGGTTTGGTATTAAACACCGGAGGTGAATTGAGGAACACTTGCTTTGTTATACCACATTGATTGCAGAGAATCACGGATGTGATACGAACACTTATTGGATACATTTGTGTTGAAAGATTTTCTGTATATGTGTATATATATTTATAGTTTTAAATGGAGCACGGCACAGTTTTGATATTTTATATTAGTGGCACATCTGTATGAGTATGTGTATGGTGCAAGCGAACTGCTAATATTCACATAAGGTAATTATTCACATACCACATTTTGGCACTCAGTATTTGGCATAGAAACTCACAAGCTTTTATTTTATTTTATTTTTAAACCCACAGGAAAGCTGCATGTACATTGAACTGCACCCGCTGTGTGGGTGAACTGCACCCGCTGTGTGGGTAAACTGCAGCACATTAGTGTGAAAGCAGCAATATACTATTATGCACAATGTATCGCTTCACACTGACCCAAATATCTCTTCTTTCCAACTGCCGGCACCACTCTGGAAACAGCTAGCTGAGATATAAGGTGGAGTGCAGTTAGTATCACTCTGCATGGCACAGGAGCCAGCACTACAGAGGAGGCATCAGCTTATGTGGCTCTCGCTCCCTACTACAGCCCCAACTTTACAAGTAGCCTCTATGCATTGCACACTGATGCTCTGGGATGTTGGGTAAGCAAGCCCAGAACACGATCTACCAGGCCCCTAGCTGCAATCTACTGTAGATCAGGATCTACTGGTTGCTGACCCCCCCAACCCCTAAATTACGGTTGAGGCAAAGTT